TGAATTCCGAAATGTGATATTTCTTAAGGCAAACAGAAACAAAATTGCTGTGTTTCTTCTCAGGCTTTTGCAGATACTCTAAAAGTAAACAAGACACTGAAAAGTCTAAATATAGAATCCAATTTTGTCACTGGGACAGGCATCCTCGCTTTGGTTGATGCTCTGAAAGGAAATGAAGTACTGACAGAAATCAAAATTGACAATCAGGTAAGGAAAGGATAGCAGAGTGGAAATTGGCTGGACTCTAAAAATGACTATTTGGGATCTTGTAATAAGACGGAGGTCAAAGTGGCAGGATAAGCCTGATTTAATGTATATATTTGATTTTTCTTAGTATGTTAAAATCCAATCATGCAGGAACCTTCAGTATGGAAATATTAATGTTTCTTTTACACTTGGAAATACGTTGCTGTAAGAGATTAGAATTCCCTCTAGTGTAACAGTTTCCTTCTTCCAGCATCAAAGTAGATGAAGAATGCTAGGAAATAATTTCGGGGAAGGGATTAGTTTTTGGTTTGTTCAAAATGCAAATCACTGCCGACTGTATACAGCTGGTCCTCAACTGGGCCCAAAATTTATGTTGCTAACTGAGAAATTTGTCACACCAGCACAATTCTTTGTCTCCTGTTGCCATAACAATTCTTTGATTATGATAAGCTCCACCACCCCACATCTACTTTAGCCTTTAGAGACTTTCGTTTTGTGCATGAAGTCACATGGATGACGATGATATGATATCAATTTAGTCTGAAAGTTGTCTAAAGAGGGACGCTGCTGTGAACCAGCCATAATATTTTCCATTTGATTCTATCTCGGTTGCTTTTTCAGAGGCAACAGCTTGGTACTGCAGTGGAGATGGAGATTGCTCAGATGTTGGAGGAGAATGCTCACATTCTCAAATTTGGGTACCAGTTTACAAAGCAAGGCCCAAGAACCAGGGTAGCAGCTGCCATCACTAAAAATAATGATCTAGGTAAGATACCAACCCCTCTGATTGGTGAAAGCTCAGGAGCATCCTTACAGGAGAAAATACGGAATTCAGTTCGGACTAAGAAAAATAGAAAATGTCCAGTCTTGTTTGGGCCATTACAAAATGACACACCTGATACACAAGGCTTTCTTAACACAAAATAAAATGGATAAAGCAAGAGTGGACTAGAAGGGGTGACCATCATTGTAAAAATAAACAGACATCTTCTTTCTTGATGGTCAGAAAGGTTTGTCTCATGAGAAACAAAGCTAACTAGGAGTTTGTCTACTGATAAGGAGAAAATGTTTTTCTTTACATTTTGAGGGTGTGGTGTTACCAACGTAACAACTATACCAGAAGTTTTCTTATTCGGTTAGCTAGTCACCTGGAAACTTAATTCTGCTTTTACCCTCTAGTGAAATAATATGATAAAACAATGATAGCTGAATCCATATATCAAAGAAAAGCAAATGGTGATGAAAAGGAATTAATATTATTGTTGATATTTCAGTAACATTTTATTCTTTATATTGGATTTCCAAACAATACAAGTTGCACTGTGTAAGCCGAAGCTTGTAAATAAGCAACTAACACAGGAACCCAAAATATACATATTTGTTTAGCTTAAATAATAAACAGAAATGACTTGCTGTCCAAATGTACTACAACATTAAAGAATGACAAATAATACTGGTCCCATGGTGGAAGGGGTGAATACAAGTGCAGACATAAAAATAAAATTATTTATTAATCACCTTTACAAAACAAAGTTTCAAAATTAGAAAAAATATTTTGTGACACTTACAAGACAATGTTTGTCCTTCTTCCTTTCTCTCTTTCTCTCTCTAGTTCGCAAGAAACGAGTGGAAGAACGCCATTAGCCTTGTCTCTGAAGATGCGAAGGAAGAGAAGGATTTCTCATAAATCTCATAAAATTTAGTGATTTAAAGGGAAGATACTGGAAAGGCTTTCGAATGAGACTGCTCATGTTCCATTACCTCAATTCATCCCTTCCTGTTATTTGAACACCATAATCCAGCCTAATTTTCTTTTTCCAAGCAATCAACAATCATGCTCTGAATTCAAGATGCTCTGAATGGAAGACCAAACGAAACTTGGTGTCAAAACGGGAAGAGCTGCAAGTTAATCTTTTCTCCCCCTTCCATTTAATGTTAATCTATGAGTGATTAGGAAATTTTCCTGCACATCCACTGAAACAAGTGGGAATTGTTTAGTGGATTGTGCTTTCTATGTTGTACAAATCACCACCTCCTCTTGACTCATAGTAAGCCCAGGTCTGCTCTTTGTTTCCTGTTATCTTTCTAGTGCTATGTGCAAATTGTAAAGAAAAGGGACCAAGGTCATTTTAAAACAACTTGTCATGCCAAGGTGGAACTCTTCTCATACCAGCACACTCTGCCAAACAAATCAATCTTCAAATTCCACAGACTACAATGTGCCATAAACTAGACAGTCAATATATTGTGAAATATTACTTCTGGAGCAGATAACTGGAGACAAATCTCACAATAGGCTTTGTTCATACCAAATTATAATTTCCAATAACCTTATTTTAGAACACACTGTAGAATCAAACGGTCAGGATGGATTCATGTGTAAACATGCCCACTATGGCACTGTGTTTTGTGTGAACAAAGCCACTATGGGCTCATCCGACTAACCACGGATTAAAAATTCTGAATTAACACTATGCATGAATGCAATGCCAGACAAAATTGGAATTGCAATAGATGTTAGCATTCTTTTTTCTTTATATTTAGCAACCCATGCTTTAGCTGTACTTCTTATCTTTCACATTGACTGGACCTTTCTAAAGGTAGAACAAATCCTCTAAGGAAAATATGTTAATTTATCCATGGCACAGAATCATAATTAGCACAACTCATGGCTTGAGAATTTTTCTCAGTCATGGTTTCTGATTCTAGTTTTCTGGCTGACTGTAAATCATTACTTGATTAAATCAGTCCTAGCCATGCTTTGCCTTGATATGAACTGAGATAATAAGCTAAATACTAGTGTGAACAAACTATTCTCCAAAATAAGGAGTCACCAAAGGAATCATTATATTTCCTGTACATAAATATGAAGAGTCATTCAGACACTAGCTACAAGTTAAATCCCTTCTTCACATCACAGTGGAGGGATATTAAACTGAAAACAATGCCATGTCACCATTCCATTCATGAGAAAGCTTCATGAATCCACCTTCCACGATTACAAGGACTGTTGATTATGTGCTCACATATGTTACTATTAGGTGAGCTAGTTTCCTAATCTAATTTGCCAACTTAAAATAGCTTCAGCTGACCTTTTAAGTTATTTGTTGATCTGTGTATATGTATTAATAGGAGGCCAAAATAATTACCGTCAACCCATTTGATGTATATAAGTGTTCTAATAATAATGTTGTGTTTGTCAGATTGCTTTTAAGGTTGTTTTAATTTCTGAAACTAGACATTTATTACTGTTGGTCACTGGATTCTTAGATAGTGAAGATTAAACTGATCAGTCACTACAGGAGATTGGTGAGAGACATTTCATACCCATGTCTTGCCTAGGAAACGAAGTCCTTCAAATTATTCTCAAGTCAGAAAACCCCACATTCCAACTTCAGTTATCAGGTTACAAAAGAAAAACATTAGTGAATAATGGATAGCACAAAAGACAAAGGGAATTCCTCACTATGATTGGGACTCCCTTTTTTGAATTTTGAGATCTTACTGCTTCAGTTAAAAATTGTGAAAAATATTTAATGCCAAACATGTATTATACTGGGGGGGGGGGGGGGTAAAATAGGAGAAAAGCGAGTCTCACTTTTAACAATGGTTATTTTTAAATAATAATAGTAATGGTTCATGTGAAAATCAGCAAGCAAAACTGAACATGAGGATCTCTGCATAAATGCAGAGGTAGCATTTAATTCCACAAGATCTCTCTTGTAAAATTCACTACGACTGAAATGCATCACAGTATTAAAGACCAAGTACTTGACACTGGGAGACTAACCAATAAGTGACTCATTATTGTGTCTATAATATTTGGAAAGAAGTACTTCACTAAGATTACCACTAACTGAAATATTTTTTTGTTTTTATTTTCCTCAGTATAATGCCACTTGGATGTCTTTTCCAAAACCCAGTAAATACTTAACTATCCCTACTGCCAGGCATGAAAATACATTTTAAAATAAAAGGCATTGTTATTTATAACTATGTAAATTAGCTTTATAAAAAGGAACTGAGGATTTTCTTCCTGCAAATTTCCACCAATGTATGGCAAAAATAATTGGAAAATAGCTGTTTGCACAAGCTGAATCATTAGCAAAAGGATATGTATATACTACTACATTAAAAGCATACCTAATCAGAAAGCACAACTTCTAAAAAATGTTCCCAAATGCTGTTTCCATATAGTCCAACCCAAAAATTTCCAGGAATGTCATCTGAAATAATTTTTAGAATCATTTTTAAAATACTGCATGGAGAATTAGGTCTCAAATCATTTGATAATGACATACTTAAAAGATGGATGTCCCCAAGACCATAACACATTCTTTTCTTTCTTTCCCAGCTTTGACAGATTTTTCCACATCATAATTTAAATGTCTGTTCATTAATGTTTTTTTCATTTCGGGAAAAAAACCCAACACGAAGTGGGCTACAGTACTGGCTACAGTATGATTTTTTTAAAAAAAAATCAGGTTTTTTTTTAAGCTGTAAGCTTTGTATATATGATGCTGTATTTACATATGATAATTCTTTTGTGGGCATCCTGGCTGTTTTTAATTTCACATTCTTGAATGTGTTCTTTATCCAAATAATGGATAATATATATATATATATATATTATGAATATCATTTTATTAATTCAACTTGCAGCCTTATTAATCCTTCTACCCTACCCTAGACTTGTGTGTCTAACAGCAGTATTCAGTTATATTTATCAGCTAATTCCTGATCTCATCCGCTGTCTTTAAATGTCTAAATAATATAGATATGACTGCCATAAGAAAGGGGCATTTATTGGGTTGCATGAGAAGAAAAGAATGTGCTTGTCTTGAATAATACCTGCTTCAACATACATGTGCATCCTTTGAAAACAAAGTTGGTTTTTTCTTTGGGAAGTATTGTTTTGATCATTTGTAACTTCCATCATACCATCATCCCTCATGCAAATATTACTGATCAGTCACAGCTTTAGAACAGAGTACTGTACTAATACATTAGAAAGTTATTTTAATGTGTTTGTGCAGTTACTTGAAAAGTCAGATTTGATACACAGTGTAGCACCTGCTAATAGCATACATTTTATCACAGTCTACTCACATTCAATTACTTCAGAAACAGAAGCTTTACACATTTAGTTTTGAAAAATTATCTTGATAAGAAGCTGCTTGTCTTTATGACATTTACTCAGGAGAATAGTTTTCAATTACTGGCATTTTAAAAAGTTCTTTTTGTTTGATCATATTCTCTGCTTCAACAACTGAGTAATAGGTCAGCCTAAAACAAGTGAAAATGGAATTGATAAAAAAATAAGTTCCAATGATTAAAAAAACCTGGATGTAAAATATGACTGATATAAATTCCTATATCGGGTGAACAAACATAATAGGAATCAAATCTGGCATTTTAAGGTTCTTATTTTATGCTTCAATCATATGCAACCTCTTACCTGTAAAGATTCAGTCATTAGACTAATAGAAATATTTTAATTATACGTAAGCTAATACATCAGTGTAAAGTCTTCATACAATATTAAAGTTACATAATGGTCAGTATGGATTATATCTAAATTTAACTACTAATTAACCAATTGTGAGACATTTCAGACAATTGCTTTATATATAGATTGCAACAATCCAATGTAAGAGCAGGTTTGTAATGGTGGCTTAGAATTAAATTTGGCATGCTTTATTCAAATAAATAAGGGGGGGGGAGTCAAACTTAGGTTACCCAACAACCCTAAAAGTTTTCAGATAATATATCACAGATCAGAAGAAGTCTGCTAACACATTTTAAGACAAACATATTTTATATAAAGTGCTTTTATTAAAAAAGAAAAGAAAGAACTAAGTAAAACATATTTTATGCAAAATATTTTTATTAAACAAAGGAAAAAGAACTAAGTAAAACATGTTTTATATAAACTGTTTATTAAAAAAATAAAAGAAAAAAGAACTAAGTAAAACATATTTTAATATAGTGTTTCATTTTAAAAAAGGAAAGGAAAAAGAATTAAGTAAAACATTTTATATAAGGTGTTTTTATTAAAAAAGAAAAACAAAAAAACTAAGTAAGACATATTTTATATAAAGTGTTTTTATTTAAAAAAAGAAAAGGAAAAATAAGTAAAACATTTTATATAAACTATTAAAAAAAGAAAAAAGAATTAAGTAAAACATATTTTATATAGTTTCGTTTAAAAAAAGAAAAGGAAAAAGAATTAAGTAAAACATATGTTATATAAGGTGTTTTTATTAAAAAACAAAAAACAAAAAGAACTAAGTAAAACGCATTTTATATAAAGTGCTTTTATTAAAACAAAGAAAAGAAAAAAGAACTAGGTATACAGTACAGCAACAGTGCCATTGTTTGCCACTAGAGGGAAGAAGAACACATCAAATGCATTTAATAAAAGTTTCCAATTTGGAAATTATTGCCTTTGATCTAATAATAGGAGACGAAGTTTGTATACAACCAAAAATAAATATTTCCCTGCTTCTGAAAAACAACAACAACCAGGTCTGCATTAACAATAAAGTATTGTGAGCCCTGCCAAAGGCGGGAAAAAAAAAGCTAACTTCTGCAGCTCCCTTGGGAAGAACACGTGTAGATGTTCCCACAATTTGCTTAACCCGTGTAGGGATTCCTTTTGACCAATAGAGAATATCTGTAGACTTTTTTTTTCTAAGTAAATTTTTTCTGGGTTTATAGAATTAAGGAATGATTTGTATTAAGAAATGCATAAGTATTAATAATAAGAGGCCGCTGGACTTTCTTGGTGTTTTTTTTCTTTGAAGACGTTTCGCTTCTCATCCAAGAAGCTTCTTCAGTTCTGACTGGATGGTGAGGGAATAGAAGGATTTATATTCCTTGCAGACAGCTGGTCATTGGCATCCTTTTAGAGGGTCATTGAGGCCACTTGGAGGTTTGTCTGTGTCCTCAATGAATATAAATCATTTTATTCCCCGCCATTCAGTCAGAACGGAAGAAGCTTCTTGGATGAGAAACGAAACGTCTTCAGAAGGAAAAAAACAACAAGAAAGTCCAGTTGTCTTTTTTTGGGGGGGGGAAGCAACTTTGGGACAACCATGACCTGAGAATCTCCACAGACATAAATATTATAATATATTTTCCCCGCAAAACTTCCATTTTTCCCGCTTCGCTGTTCTTTTACAGCACCGTCAACCCTTAAGGGGAAAAAAACACACTTGATCATGTGTACTCAAATATTAAGCATGCTTATAGAGCAAAACCTCTTCCCCACTGAGGACAACCAGACCACTTCACCCTGCTTTTACTACCAGCCTACACTCCGCTTAGGAAGAGAACAAAACCTAGCAGTCAAACTATTAGAGGCTTGCCTGAAAATGACCTCTCCCAGATTCAGGATTGTTTTGCCCACACGGATTGGAGCATCTTCAAACAACAGGACTTCGAGTTATACACAGAGACTGTGCTCTTCTACATGAAGACCTGTGTAGAAAATGTCACTGTGGACAAACGCATACGGACCTTCCCAAACAAGAAACCCTGGATGACCAGCAAAGTCCAGACTCTGATCAGAGCCCGTGACCTGGCTTTCAGAGCAGGTGACACCTCACAGTACAGCACTGCCGGAGCTGAGCTGAGAAGAGGCATCAATCATGCCAAGGAGATGTATAGGAGGAAGGTCGAGGACCACTTTACTGACAGTGACCCACGGCAGATGTGGAGGGGGATACAGGCCCTGACCAACTATAAAGGCCAGGGCCCAACGAACAGCGAGAGCAGTAGCACTCTAGCAGAGGAGCTAAACAGCTTTTTTGCACGCTTTGAGACCACCAAGAACCTGGACATACTGTCTCACGAGGACCACGGTGCTGCACCTCTTTCTCTTCAGGTGCATGAGGTGAGAAAAACACAGTAAATCCCAGGAAAGCTGCAGGGCCTGATGGCATTCCTGGTGCAGTAGTTAAGTGTGTGCTGACCAGTTGGCAGAAATACTTACGGAGTTGTTCAATCTATCTTTAACACATGCCATCATCCCACAATGCCTGAAGGCCGCAACCATCATCCCCGTTCCCCCCCCAAAAAAACAAATATAAACACTCTCAATGATTATAAGGCCCATAGCATTAACAAGCTCCATTATGAAGGTTTTTGAGCGACTAGTTTCACAGCACATCAGAGACTGCCTCCCACCCTCCTTTGATCAATATCAGTTTGCTTATAGAGCAAACCGATCTACAGAGGATGCTGTGGCCATCACACTTCATAGAGCGCTGAGTCATCTGGAGAACAAACAGAGCTAGGTGAGGATGCTCTTTGTGGACTACAGCTCTGCATTTAACACTATCATCCCAGATATGCTAGTAACCAAACTGTATAATCTGCAGGTCCCCACCCCCACGTGCTCCTGGATTAAGAACTTTTTAACAAACAGACCACAGTCTGTTAGACTTGGCCCCCACCTTTCTTCCACTATTACATTCAGTACTGGTTCCCCCCAGGGTTGTGTCTTGAGCCCCCTGCTATATGCCTTGTAAACCTTTGACTGCTCACCAAG